GTCTGTCTACATCTCCAAAGATCAAAATGGTCTGTTCCACCTTGTGATGTCATGAAGTGGTAGTTTTCAAGTTAGCAAATGTTAAATGGTCACATTTTTAAACAGCGCTTTTCCACCTTCAAGTCACTCAAAGCGCTTTACAACAAGGAACCACTCACCCACACACCAGTGTACACAGACACAAAGGGCGAGGTGGGTTAAGTGTCTTGCCCAAGGACACAACGACAGTATTCATCTGTGGGAGCTGGAGTCACACCGGCCAACCTGTGGGTCAGTGGATCTCACCACTAAACCAATGACGTTTATGTCAGGATTTGAACTGCCAACCTTCAGATCAGTGAACAAACGCTCTACCGCCTGACTGTCGCAGCTACATTTACTCTTTGTTCAATTAGAAATTGGCAATTCTAGGGCTGCAATTATCCAAATGATTCTTGTGAAGGTGTATGGAGCACTTCCTGTATCAAGGTGGAACGGAGTCTAAACATGCAGGATTTGTGTGACAAACATGTGAATGAAACCAAACACAACTCTGTACATGTTTATGAGGAAACAAATAAGATTGATCAGACAGTGGGTGTGGGCTTTTTAAATCGAGTTTAAATATGGTCTGTGGATGATCATGGTCGGTGGACAACTCCACTATCCATCAGTCTCAAATAGTGATTCACTTTCACACACAGACTGGACACCAGAGTCCAGATCTGAACTCTAGAGAGACTTTTTGGAACGAGAGAGAGAAAACGGCAAAATGCTCCAACTTTCTCTATCATTCAAATTCTGGCAGAAAATTCTAGCAATTCTGAACGGAAATAAGAGTTTTGGCAAAAGCTAGTCAAAATCAATCAAAACTAATAACCAATTTCCTCCAAGTAGTGCATATATATTTTAAATTAGGGTTGTCAAAACATCATTACCCAGACACAAATCAATCCTGAAACTGAAACTAGATACTGACTATTGATACTGAAGAAAGTACATTTATGCAGGAAGTAGTTGGAACTTAGTTTAAGAATAGTCTAGTCATCTCTATCAGAAGTAAAATTAGGATTAAAAATTTAAAACTAAATATTATGTCTTTAGAATCGGAAATGGTCCTTAAAATGTTGCAAAGAACAGGGACCTGAAAACATGACTAAGAGCAGATAGAACAACCATTATTTTGTGTTGAAAATTACATTCTATTGTATGAATTATTTATTTATTTAGTTTTTAGTTTAGTTGTTTCAAATCTTACTATTGTGACAACACATTTTTTATGTGTTCATTTTTAACCGCAGAAGTCTTCCAATTAGCATAACATTACAATTAAACCCTGAAACTCGCTATAGCATAACCATTTAAATATGACGCCTATGGGGAAATATGCAATTACACAACACAGCTAATACAACGTCAGTGCTCGTATAAATAGTCCCAAACCTTCAGCCTTGTTTAAAAAGGGCCCACATTATTCTATTTTTTATTTTTCTCATCATAAACAGACCTTAAGTTGGGTTTTGTTTCATTCTCACATATTTAACAGTCAGGATGTGCAAAAATATTGAAATATCAATATATTATATTGTTTAATGTGATGATACAGTATCGGTATCGTGGGCTGCTGTATTGATATATCACCAAGAGTATTTTTTTGTGTATTTTACTAAATTAATTTGTTGCTTGTTCAGAGGAAGGAAACATGTTTATGCGACACATTTGACATTTTCACTGTTTTGATGATTAAAATGGGTGTGTTTTTTTTGGGAACTGTATCGAATCAATTTGAAATATATCGTATCGAATCAAAAGCTCACTGTACGAGATATGTATGGTATCATTGCCTGTGTATCGAGGTATGTATCGTATCGGCAACTTCTTAATGATACCAGCCCTATTAAGAGACAAATCTTGCATACTGAGACTGAGTTTTTCTCTCAGTCAGAAAACACTCTGTTCCACCTTGTGATGTCATGTGACAGGGCAACAGTAGCTAACACACCTTCACTAGAACCATTGGCATAACTGCAGCCCTGGAATCACAAATATTTACTAAATAAAAGGTAAAAGGAACTGTTAACTTGAAAACTACATGACATCACAAGGTGTAAGAGAGATGTAGACAGTGATAATGCAGGATTACTCAAACTGAATGAAACAAAACACAACTTCAGGTCTGTTTTTGAGGAGATTACAACATTATAACCAGTGTTGGGAAGGTTACTTTTAAAATGTATTTCCCTACAGATGTCCAAAAATGAGTGGAATTACCGAAAAAAAAAAAGAAAAAAAAAGGGTACAGCTCAAAATATGAAAACAGGAAAATACCGCCATGTAATCCACTTATTTCAACAAAGTAACTGTAATCCTTTTACCACTCATTCAAAAAGTAACTGTAACCGAATACAGTTACTCATAAATGTCTTAAACTTCACAAGAATCTCTTTTGCATGAGACAGGACCTTTAAAAGACTTCACAAGACATACAGTTGTGTTTGGTTATGGTCCGGCCTCATGTTTATGATCCATATAATTGGGAGCGTCTCGTGCGGTGGGCGGTGGACATAGGAGCGTTAGCCTTCAGATATAACATCAAAGTACATTTAGTCATCTCAAACAAGCAGTAAGAGAGGCACGGGGAGGCAGGGGAGAGGAACAGTGCCCCCATGTGGACGCTGGACAAGACAAGACAAGAGCTTAAATATGTATTGGTATTGGTTTTAGAGGATGATTTTACATGTACAGTTGTGGTAGTCATAGTTGAAGTAAGTAGTACTGATAGTTCTAGAGGATGTAGTGGACAAAATGTTATCTTTATCTTTACTATTTATCTTTACTATTAAGGACTGGATTGTTAGTAAGATGTTATAAAATGTGATTTCTAGAACTTTTTAAAGATGTTTTTTGGATGTGGGAAGTTGCACGATTACATTTTGTTTTGTTGTTGTTTTTTTTTACAATAATGGCTGTCTCTAATAAATGACACTGTTTATGTAGATTAAAGCAAATCAAATTAACACTTAAATATATTTCTCAAATTAATGTCATTTGAATTTCCAAAATGTTAAATATTTGTAATTAGGGGTGTGCACTGCCTTGAGTCTGACGATACGATCCATATCACGATTCACATGTCACGATTCAATATATCACGATAGATCCCGATACTAAAACAATGGGTGATATATTGCGATTTATTAATAATTACTTCTAATAATACAGTCAACTACACCTTCAAGAGAACACAATTGTATGAAATATAATTCATAAACTTTTTAAAATCATGAGAACTGTGAATGTATCTAATGAATTTTTGTGAAAAATATTTTAAAAATCGATTCAGATCCATTTTGATTCGATTCGAGAATTGTGGAATGAAGTATCAAGCTATATCACTGAATATTTTTTTTACACCCCTATTTGTAATACCTCAAAGATACAAAAGATTAGTGTAGAATATTTGTGGAGGTAGGATCCATAGCGACGGTGAGAGCTTTAAATAGTTTTGAATAAACAACAGGTAAAGTGATTCTTATGAAAGATATTTTCAAATCTGATTTGCAAAAAAATCAAAACTTTTAATGCCCTGCAGAAGCCCTATGCAGGCTAATCTAGATGGAAATTTGAGGATTTCTGCAGGAAGCAACACATTTCATTTGGTTCATGAGAGCGCCACGTGAAATGAAGACAGAAGTGGTTAAACAGAAATAAGAGGCTGACGATGTGGATATCGGCTCCCTAAAATGACACTCAAAGTTTTTACCAATATTTCACTGTGACAAAAGAAATTAGACCCTGTGATTCTGTTTCTGTTCTATTACACCAAAGCAATATCCAATAAAGGCACCTGATTGTTACGAGTTTAAAAAGGTGAAAACAGAACTAGTTCATTTTAAAGCAGATCTGGGCATTGTCCAGCTCCCAGGCCACATACAGCCCTTTGGTTTACTGTGACCAGCCCATTTAAGATAATATGCAATTACAAAATAAACTGATTTTATAATTTGACCTCATGCATGGACTAAAGCTGCATTGCTTTTATTTGAGTGTTTTTTTTAAATGACATTTTTTGAAAGGTAACTTCACTTTTTCATTGCTTAGTCAGAACATAAACTCTTACCAGTCTGATCAGCTTTTTGGCCCGACCCTCCACAATATTTTCTGTTTCTCATGTGGCCCCATGGAAAAAAATCATTGCAAAAAACAAAAACAAAACTGAAATCCTGAAAATGAGTACTCTATATGTGTGTACTCTAAAATGTACTGTATGAATGTGTCTTATTACTTATTTAATCTATTTGTATGTATACATGTATGTTTGTATATATATGTGTATGTATGTATGCATGTATGTATTATGTATGTATGTATGTAAGTGTGTATGTGTGTATGTATATAATCCTTTTCATTATTAAGTATTATCATCATTGCTATTATGTTATTTATTGTATTATTTTGTAAATTTTCTTTTTTTTTAAAATCTACTCTCTACATGTATATTGATTTTATGTGTGGGAGGAAAAAAAGAAATAGGGCATGTATACTGTGACTTATGTGGACCAAAAAAAAAAAAAAAAAAAAAGCACTGAATAAACTGCAAATAATAATAAAAAAAACCTCAATCACAGTTTGCAGTGGTCCAGTTCTTCCTCACTTTGTGTTTTCAGAGCAGCCTAATTATTCACTCTGATGAGTTTATACACACTTTCCTCAACTTTAAAAGACCAGAGTGGAGTTTGGCAGTGACGGTATTAACAACAACTAGCATGCTAACGAGTACTTCTTTATAATAGGAGAATAAAACACTATATAGTTAGATGGAAGCAGCACACAACACACTTATTGTGACCTCAAAGGGTGCTTAGAAAAATATATCTGTACTCGAGCAAGATACATTTTGCTCAAATATATGAAAAAAGTCAGGTCCAGGCCCTTCAAAGTAAAATCTATGGTATAGAAATATAGTAGAAAAGTGAGTTCAAGTTTAGGAGGGTGTTCATGTTTGAGTGTTTTTTTCTTACAAGATTGCCGAAGTCGCTCTTTATCATAATGCAGGGTCTCGTAGTCCGCCATGCCCACCCGATTCACCCGCACCCTCAGCCTCTCCGGGACCGCCTGCTGGCTACAAATACAACAACAACAACAACAAAAATAAATCAATCTACAATAAACAGACGGGTGGAGACAGGTGGAAGGATACGCACTCGTTGAGGTGTAGTGCCGAGGTGCGTCTCTTGGTTTTCTGCAGCATGTTGGCCTGGTTTCTCAGACTGATGTGGATGACGGCTGGGCACAGTTTGCACGGCTCACCGTCCACCTGAACCGAAAAGAAAAGCAACATAATTATGCAAGACTTATGGACATTTTCCAAATTTTATGAAGGAGAAAAAAACAGTAAGGGCAAGAAAAAAATCTAACTTAAAAAGGACATAGTATGCTTTTTTTTTTTTTGATACTTACCAAAAGTGTCAAAAATTTTTTTCAAAAGGTCTGAACTGTAGCAAGGACTTTTACTTATGTGTTCTTTTTGAAAATGGCTATGAACAATTTTTAACCCTACTCACAGGATTACATGAAGTCTTTTTTGGGATAATCTAGTATAGACAGTGTTGAGGAGTAATGGATTACATGTACTGGCGTTATGTAATCAGAGTACAAATGAGTAACTGTATTCAGTTACAGTTACTGTTTCCATGAGTGGTAATTGGATTACAGTTACTTTGTTGAAATAAATATTAAAATATTTTCCTGTTTTCACATTTGGGCTAAACCAGGACTAAAACTACAACTAAAACCAGGACTAAACTAGGACTAAACTCAGAACTAAAACCAGAGCTAAACCAAGATTAAACCAGGACTAAGCCAGGAGTCAAACCAGAACTAAAACCAGGACTAAACCAGGTCTAATTTAGGACTAAACTAATACAATATGACACTAACAGTAGTGTGGACAATTGTGATCTCACATAAAAATCATTTCTCTATCAATAGTTTTAATCTGGTCAAATAAAGACTGAACAAACATGAATTTTCCGGATGTGGTTGCTATATTCATGTAGTTTTAAAAAACATGACAATATCAAGTAATCCAAAGTATTCAGATTACGTTACTCACTTGAAGTAATTTAATGGATTACCTTACAAACTACATTTTGGGGTATGTAATCTGTAATCTGTAGGGGAATACATTTTAAAAGTAACCTTCCCAACACTGAGTATAGAAGTATACAACTGTGCGTGGGGACAAGTGAAAAAAAAAATATATATATAGAAATTTAGAGAACACACAAGCCTAAAATGATGGAAATACAACTATATGTAAGGTAATGATGAGGAAAAAAAATCCAAAAACATGAACTAATGTGGTTAAAAGATGATGAAAAGTCCAATAACATAACAAGTACTATTGCATATATTTGTGGCCTGTGCTTCTCAACAAAAAAAAGTTCTTGCAGTTTAAACTTAGGCTGGATGTATTACAAAAATGCAAAGAGATTATGTATACATGGACAAGCCTTAAAAAGTAAGAGAACATTTGTATAAAACCTTGCCAAACCCACTCGGGCTACAGTTTCTCTGCTTCAAATAAAGCTCGCATTCCTCAGAGCACACTTCAAAATGTTTTTCATCTTCTCCCATTTTGAAAAGATGATGGGCACCTCACACGAAGATGAAAAACTCAAATTCAACAGGCTGGAGGGTAAAAATTCTACAAGCAGATCTCAAAAGATAAAATGTAAAAACACATTTCTAGTGATCAAATATTAAACATTGGATTATTTTTGTTGTTTACAGTTGTACAACAAAGGAAGAGGAATGTGTGAAAATGATGGAATTCACTTTCTAATCAAAATAAAAGTCACAACATTTCCTATTTGAACTGTGGTTTATTCACAGAGGAAATACTGAGGGATTCATGCATGTTTGAGTAATCTCCATTGTCCTGCATTTAAGGGTACCCCCTATTCCCGCCCACTGCTCTGTACTTAACTGTGATTCATTAGAAAATTAAGGCTTTGGGTCATAAAAAATATACTGATGATACCAAAACTAGATACTAATTTCAGCAGGTATCGAAACCTTTGCTGAATGTCTTGAGCTGTATCAGAACAAATATAAGAGCACATAGACTAGTATACACACATGGACGCTATGAACCTCCCTGGACCGCTGAGGGATTACATACATATAAGACATATGGGAATAGAAAAGAAGGTACTGTATTTTCCGCAATATTAGGAGCTCTGGATTATAAGACGCACTGTCATTAAATGGTCTATCTTCAAACTTTTTTCACAAATAAACTGCACCGGACTTTAAAGGAAACACAACAGTGTGATGGGTGAGTGGTTTTGTTTGTTTGTTCGTTCACGGTGACTCTGGGCTTTGTTCAGTTGTGGCGTGTAGGGAGGGTGCTGTCTGGGACCAACGGATTGTCAATGTGTTCGCAGTGACTCAGTTGTTCAGTTGTGTCTAGAAGTGGCACATTGCACTCGCTTTTTCGGTTCGTTCCTCCGTTCCGTTCCTCGTCAGTGTGGAGTGATGAGTGTGTCTGTGGGTGTGTTTCACTGTGCGGTCGCTGTCTGCTCCATGTGTGTTTGTGTGTTCTGTGGGTGGTGCGGCTTTGTAGTTTTCTGAAGTCATGCTGGGACACCCAAGTGGATTTGTGTATAGGGCGCTCTGGATTGTTGTTTTTTGATGGGGTTGGAGGCTTAAGAGCGTGCCCAATAGCCCGGAAAATATGGTACTATGATTTAAAAATACAATCCAGTAGTAGTGGTCGGGTACCAGAGGCGACTGTTCAATATCCTATAGACGAACAACTTTCAGTCAACAGGTGTTATCAGTCAAGGGCACAGAAATCTGGAACAACATCCCAGTTGCTATAAGAGACTCCACCACTTTCGCTTCATTTAAAACTAATCTGAAAGGATGGCTTAAGAGAAACCAGATCTGTAACCACTAATGTTATGCTCCTATGTAAATGTCATGCTTGTGTGTTTGTCTATTGTGACGCGTTTTATGTTTTTATGTTTTATGTCTTATGTCCCTGTCTCTCTGACCTGCCAGGGACTACAGATGAAAAGTAGCATTCAGGCTAATTCTGGCGTATTTAAAAGTATATGTTCATGAATATGCACTGTCTCTTTTAAATAAATAAAAAAAAATAAAAAAATCACATTCTACTGTCTAAATAAAGAGTGTTTTTTTAATTTATTTTTATTATCATTGTGGTATCAAAGTCAGTATTGACAATAGAATACAAGTTTAAAAATTTTTAATTGTGACAATAGTCCATTTAAAGAGCCATTAAACCTCCTCCCGAAGCTTTACTCTGCCCTTAAGCAAAATCAGAAAAATTGTCCAGAGTGGGTGGTGCCTGACAGTTTGGGGGAAGTGAGTGTGGGGCGGTGCTCTGGAGCGATGATTGACAGCCGAATAACAACCACAACAATCCCACACAGTGCGGACCGGTGCACTCCAGACTGTGAAAAAGAGTGGACATTTGCGCTTGGCTTACACAGTTTCCCTTTTCTCCAGACACGGTGGGACATGGTGGTGCCCAGCGGTGGCTGAGAGGGGCTCCTCACATCCCGCCCGTAGACACCTGTGGCTGCACTCATCACATAATAACCTGCATCTGACTAACTGGCGCTGTTAGTCTAACTCGAAAATTCAAAAGTTCTGGCCGTAGTTGATCCTAAATAGGCCGATACAGACACGACTTTGACCCAAAAGTCAAATTTTTATGCACTATGCACTAAAATGTCAAAATAAGACCAGAGATGGAGATGTACTTCTATTTCAGACTCATTTACACAGCAAATCAGGAGAAAATGTGATTTTGGTGTTTAGTAGCCCTTTAACAAAATGTTAAAAGTTATTGTTTACGCCAATATTTAAGAAGAAAACTGCTTAATATCGCAGCTTTGAAAATAATTGAAATACTAATTAAAACCCAATACTTTCCCATCACTACTCACATACCTGAACGGGCAGGGCCTTGTTGGTGGTGAGGGTAACTTCTCGACACTGGTGCAGTCTCTCTCCGTGACCCCCGACCTGCAGCGCCGCCTGTACAACACACAGACACACACTATGTTTACATGTGTAACCCAGGTTAAAATACACATATCTACAGTCAATAGGCAATATTCCGACTACTACCGGTCAGTAAACACATCACGCTCACTCTCGCGCTTCCTACAAGTCACCTGCTCTCCTCCCTCCATTCACACCCAGGAGTGAGGCGAGACAGTACGGCTGCGCAGAAGCCCTTACCGCTAGCATCTGAAGGCGAATAGACTATGCAAAATAATAAACCAAGGAATTGGCCAGATGATTCCAGTCAAAAAACATCCTGATGGCGAGCTGAACCCACGGAACCTTCATTCAACTCACAAATACTCCACTCAGCTTCTACAGTCGGGTAGGGGCTGTTGCACCCTCTTTAAAGACTATGGACATGTATTGTGGACAGTAAAATCCACATTTGCTCAACTGAGCCATGGACAATGATAAAGCCACCAGCAAAGTGACTTATTTATTATTGCTGCTTTGTATTGTGAGAATGTATTAACCAGAGTATTGTAATTATTGTAAATACTGAATATATATTTTGTTCACCCTATTTTGCACTTTTCAATATATAGCACCAGCCACCAAATATAAATACTCAGTCTCCCGTGTTTTACTGTTTTCTTACTTCCCAGAGAGCCGCAGCCTAGTCTTCTGTCCCTAGCCCTTACACCTATCTAACTTTACCCCTTTTGTCCCTAGTGTACATCATAGATACACACACACACACACCCATGCACGCCACAACTACAACCAGCCTGCTCCAACTGAAGCCCATTTATCAACATCCATATAAACCCAGCAAATCACACCTGGGGTTGTGTTTTGGTTCATTCACACATATTTATAGAGTAACCCTTTATTATTAATCTGTTTACATTTCCAAAGCTCAGAATGCTCTGTTCCACCTAGTGATGTCATGCCTACATATGCGGGGTTTGTACGTTAAATGTGTGAATAAAACAAAACACAACTCATATGTTTTGATGAGGAAACAACATTATAATGTAGATCTGAATATAGCGTACTATGGGCCCTTAGTAACCCCTTAACCACTTTTACCCAACATTTCTGATACAGCCCCTGAAATCCAAACAACAACTAAGGAGTCATTGTTAGACTCTCAAATCCCAACAATACATCTCAAAAAATCTTGGATGCCCACTGCCTGTAACAACACAGTTTGATTTACACTGAATGCAGACCAGGAGAGGCATTCAGCTGCACACACAGTCTACACTATCGTCCTTCACTGTGGATTGGCACATGCAGTATTACTGTTTTGGACTGCCCTGTAAAAGTCGAAGTGTGTTTATGTGTTTGTTTGTGCACAGTTCTTGGCACGTCTGAAGTCACTTATCTACCCTAATTTCCAGACTACTGGGCGCACCTGAATATAAGATGCATCAACTAAATTTTAAAAGAAAAAACTGTTTACATATATAGGCCACACTATAAGCCGCAGGTGTCCACGTCTTCAAGAACGTTTTCAAGTTAGGGCCATCTGCTTTTCTTGCCTCTGAAATCTTTTGTCATCTTTTTGCATTAAGTCAGTTCATCACGCTGCCATCACCAACGTCTCACCATCGACTCACTGATGCCGAGCTCATGTGCAGCAGCTCTATTGTCTTCCTCAACAGTCACATCAATCGCCGTTAACTTAAAAGCTGCATCATCTGCATTTCTTTGTGTTTTCCGTAAGGAGGGTGTGTGTAAGAAGCACAAAATAACTGCTCAAAACACAATCAAACGAGCATCTTCCTCATGCGCAGTAGAGTGCGGGGAGAGACGGGTTGATGCGCCGTCTCCTGCAGAAAGAGTCTCTGTCCTGTCTGTATCATTTCTCCTGCAGAAAGTCTCTGTCCTGTTTGTATCATGTCAGTGTTTTACAGCAGATTTTCAGCAGATTTCAGACTCTCTCGGGGGCGGGGATAGGTGTATGGATCAGGTATGAGATGTCCAGCTACTGAAGTTTGAGACGTTTCTTCTTGTCATTTACGCACTCACCTGATTTAAGGCATATGCGTCATGAAGCTGTATCCCACTAAGTAATGTTCATTTAGCATCAGAACTTAACGTATTTTCCGCACTATAGGGCGCTCTGGATTATAAGACGCACTGTCATTAAATGGTCTAATTTCAAACTTTTTTCACACAAATAAACCGCGTGGGACTTTAAAGGAAACACAACAGTGTGATGGGTGAGTGGTTTTGCTTGTTTGTGGCGTTCACGGTGACTCTGGGCTTTGTTCAGTTGTGGCGTGTAGGGAGGGTGCTGTCTGGGACCAACGGATTGTCGGCGTGTTCGCAGTGACTCAGTTGTTCAGTTGTGTCTAGAAGTGGCACATTGCACTCGTTTTTTGGTTCATTCCTCCATTCCGTTCCTCGTCAGTGTGGAGTGATGTGTGTCTGTGGGTGTGTTTCACTGTGCGGTCGCTGTCTGCTCCGTGTGCGTTTGTGTGTTCTGTGGGTGGTGCGGCTTTGTAGTTTACTGAAGTCGTGCTGGGACACCCGAGTAGATTTGTGTATAGGGCGCTCTGGATTGCGGAGCACGCAGTCGTTTATTTGATGGGGTTGGAGGCTTTTGAGGAGACCCTATAGTGCAGAAAATACAGTATTTTATCACACGGTGTTAAACTGTTTTAATGCTGATAACACTAATGTTGCAACTTCATGTTAACTGCACAGACAGCGGCACTTTCTGCACGTGCATACGCTGTGTTGCCAAACAAATAATCCATCCATATATTAGCTGCATCGTTGTTTAAGCCACAGGGTTCAAAGTGTAAGAAAAAAGTAGCGGGTTATAGTCTAGAAATTACGGTAATTCTATCAAAACTGTGGCTATCATAGACTGTATATAAACGCACAGAGCTAACCCACTAGCCGCTGCAACCAAATAGAAAGTGAACGTGGGGGCGCTTGTTTACATTTGATTTTATATTGTACTCTCTATATGATACTAATGTTTTTATTTAGCTATTTTGTCCTCCAAATTTGCCCCTGTAACTACTAGTCTCTGCCAAATCAGCCAAACACTGTGGGTGATGTCACACTGCCTTAGTCTACTTCTTCACTGGTATTTTTCCTAAGATAGTTTTGTTTGATTAGCAATTGTAGCCACAAAGTTTTATTGCTAACACTCAGTGACTAGATTGAATGTTTTCTCTTTTGATTGTGTTCATTGACCTGTTGTAGACCGGGAGAAGAGTGGTCTGACAGGTTTGGAATTTAGTTGTTTCGAGCACTCGGCGTTGTCTGCTGTGCATGTTACCGGAGCGACAGACACGGGGACTGGGTGCAGGAGGGTCCGCCCGGGTGCGCCTCTCCCCCCTCCCCTGCCCCACTTGTGTACCGGGGCAGGCGTGATGGATGGGTGGGCTTATTACCGCAGACCTGCACAGCCCCGGGGTTGCCTCCTGCTCGACTCTTTCTGGGTCAGGAGGAGAGAGGCGCCGCTACATCCTCCGAGCAACTTTGGACAATCAACAACTTAACTTAAAATGCAAACTTTTAGATTTGAACTTTAAGTGAGGCTTTTTCTGAACATATTTTATCATGAGGTATGCTATAACAATATAATTATAGTGTTTCCCATTACTAGAGGAGAGTGTGGTGGCTCCCATAGTCTAATTTTGTATTGCCCCACTATGGGTCGCTTCTGCCAGCATAGTCTTAGTATAAACCTACGAGAAACACTGTAATTGACAATATACTTTATCTATTTATCCTATTTTTCAGACTATAAGTGGCACTTTTTTCATGGTTTGGGTGTTTCCTGTGACTTAAATATTAAAATGTTTGAGTGAAGTGTGGAGAGGTTCTAGTCTTGTGTGTGAGTATCTGCTGCTCCTGTTCCTCCTGTACCACTGTCACTTCACTCTACTGCACATGTCTCCTGCAGAAAGAGTCTCTGTCCTGCTGCAAGTAGTGAAATATTCAGCCGAAAATGGTAATCAAGCAGCAGAAAGAAAGTATGGAGTGAGAGAGAAACTTGTGAGGGACTGGTGGAAAGCAGGGATGGAGAACACAGCTTCACAGCAACCAAGAGGATGCACCATGAAACTTTCCTGAAGTCACTGGATGGATGGACAAAGTCTGGACTTCAGTGACACAGAAACCATCCTGTCGGGATTCAGAAAGACCCAATAATTCTAACTGGAACTGATGCTGAGTCTGACGACAGCTATGCAGAAGAGGAAGCGGCGCTCTGTTTACCTCAGAAGGTCGAGGCCGAGTTGTTCAGAAGTGACACCGAGGATGAAGAATTTAATGGATTTAGTGATTTGGAGTGAGATGGAGAGTTTGGTAAACTTGTTCTGTTTTGTTGTTTATGTTATAGTTATCGCTGGAGGGACTATGTCTCTCGGCTGGCCTGGGAATGCCTTGGGGTTCCCCCGGAGGAGCTGGAGGACGTGTCTGGGGTGAAGGAAGTCTGGGAGCCCCTGCTTAGACTGCTGCCCCCGCGACCCGGCCCCGGATAAGCGGAAGAAAATGGATGGATGGACGTTATAGTTATCTGACGAAATGTGACGTTAACAGTCTGTTGTTCTCTCTTCTATTGTTATTACTAGAACTTGACTTTCAACAGGAAATGTCAGTTCCTGGTCTCTTAGTTTATAAAATACATTTCCCCCAGAAAGTGCGACTTATAATCTGGTGTGACTAATATGTTTTTTCTTTACGCATTTTTTGGCTGGTGCGATTTATACTCCGGAGCTACTTCTAATCCAAAAAATACGGTAAATGCCTTGTACCTGATTTTGAGCAAAATCTGACATATCCCAATACAGATATATTGTATAAGCAGAGTTTGAGGTTCAAAATAAGACCGCTATCTGCAACTAAGTATAAAGCATTGTATTATCTGATGATCAAGCGCTTGAGTTGTGAAAACTGCTTATAAAGTCAAAACAGTGAATAATTAGGATGCTTGGAATGCATAAAGTGAGTGAGGAACAACTTTGGACCACTGCACACTGAACTTGTTTTGTTTCCTGCATTTAAGACAGTAAAATTCAGGTACGGGGTCTTTGAGTTATAGCTACAAGTTGTTTTTCCACTTGTGACGTCTTATGTCTCTGATTAGTTTTTAGTCTCTGAGAAGCATCCAACGTCAGTGTTTAAGTAGCAATTAGCCACAATCTTGTTTGCCTCAACTTCAAATGAGAGGAAAATCTGCTCCAGTGCACAAGCAATTACATCATAGTACTCATAATATCCACATTTCATATCATCCCCACACTAAAAATACTTTATATCAACATTCCCTCAGGGTTTGATGCTAACTGCAGGCACTAATCTGACTGAACCTTTTTTTAGGTTTTGTTAGACTTTAATCTGAGCTTTATTTGACCACAGTCTACCATAAAGAGCCTTACTTAGTTGGAAATACAACACGTGAGATGATTTGTGCTGGATTTTAAACAAGTTGCTCACACATAACATTACAGTTACAACAGTTTTCTGTTCTCACCTTTTATGTTGAAAATCAAACACCTAAACTGGACCATGAAGGCTTGTATTGATCACAGGCTCCTGAATTATTAACTAGTTGTTTAAGACCATTTTCGATGATGAGTTTTCAGAATGTTTTAGCATATTTTGACTAGGTGTGTGCAAAAATATTGAAATATCAATATATTGTAATGTTTAATGTGATGCTACAGTATCAATATCATGGGCTGCTGTGTCAATATGTCGTCAAGAGTATTTTGGGGTATATTTTACTAAATTTGTTAAAGTGCTACAGTTTTGTTGCTTGTTTAGTGGGAAAAAAAAAACTCATTTACGTGACACATTTGACATTTTTACTGTTTTGATGATTAAAATGTTTGTGTTTCATTCATTTTGCACAAGAAGTGGTTTAACAAAGACTTTTAGTATCACAGTCATGATTTAGCCTTTATTTTTATTGAACCGTCATCAAATCGATTTGGAATATATCGTATTGAATCGAAAGCGCACTGTATCAAGATATGTATCGTATCATGGCATGTGTCGTATCTGCAACTTCTAAATGATACCCAGTAGGGATGGGCATTCGATGAAATTTTATTAATCGATCGTCGGGAGAATTAAAGATCGATTTTCGATTAATCATTAACGTTTTATATAATAAGTATCATCATTATTATTACTGTTACTAATCTGCATAAATAAACTAAATTTTTCAAAATAAACCATCACCACTCTAGAGCCACATCAGCCCGTTTGACATTATCATGTGTTTAATGCAGCTTTGCGCAAGTAGAAACCAAACTTAAAACCGCATGGCTAATTTGCATAAACTAAGCAAAGAAAAAAAAAAAAACACTCTTGTGCGCTGATGCGGTTCAGCTTTTGTCAGACTAAAGGACACAACGCAGTGGAATATGAGTGTTCTCTCTGTGACAGAGGGATGATGATGCTGAAGGTGAGTCAGTTCTGTGTGTCGCAATGTTTTCAAAGATCGTACTGCTTATACACGCACCATGATCAAACCGGGACACAGATATGAATGTAAACACACTCACTGAGAGGTACAGTGTCTCCAAGGTGGAGCCAGAGCCCAAACGTGGGACTACGCTGTCAGTCGCAGCTTCATATCTACACCCAAAAACCTACGTTCGGATTAGAAATGAACATAATGGACAAAATTCTTATTGATCAATTATCAATTAATTGACAAATCATGCCCATCCCTAATACCCAGCTCTATTACTGAGTGTTAATGCTAATATGTGCATTGTGTCTCCATGGTAACAGCTGAACATTCCACTATAGAGATACATGTGGACCACCCCCAGTGTGATGTCTCTGTAAAGTATAAATAAGTAATAATATGTACTAACAATAATACTGAATAGCCACAAATAGAGTCTCTTATATATTCCACATACAGCCACATACCAGTGATGTCATGGTGAAGCCGATCACTTCTATGTATCCATCGTCATGTCTCTGAGGCTCAAAGTCATGGTGCTCCCCAGGGTTCCCCCACGGAGTCGTCCCAGCACAGTATCTGTAATCACAGAACGAACCATCACTACTCCTCTTTTTCCCTTTATTTACTATATTTTAATGAAATCTGCCATTTTAAGACTACAGATGTAAAAACTAGTACACACTGTCTAGACATAATTCATCAACTCTAAAGCACCACCTGTAGTCACACCACTGCTGTGCAAATGGAAAAGTTGTATTCCAATTTGTTCAAAGTCTTTAAAATGGTTTGCATGGTTCAAATCAATCCAAGAGTGAAGAAATGGGTTAAAGTCATTTCAAGCTATAAGAAAAAATTACATAACTTAATTTATTAACTTATAAATTGGTTAGTCACCCACCAAAATGTAGTGCTGACAGGCAACCAATAATATATTAGATATGATTTACAATTTTCAAACTACTTTTTAAAATAGCAGCATTATTATTTCACACTTAAAAAAAAAAAAAGTCAAATTCTGTCAACTGGACAAAGTTTTATGAGTGAATACATCACCCATCCAGCAGTAGCTTCTTCAGTTCTGACAGGGTTCTGATGAGAGGCTCATTTATGTGTTTGAAAGGAGAAGCTAACTACACTGAAACTAACACACACTAGTGGTTCAGTAAAGTGCATAAGTAATTAGTTAAAGAGAAGAGGGTATTACACTTATTATTATGGGGGGGGATTAACTGCTAACACATAACATACAGTATTTATTAGGGGTGTAAGAAAAAATCGATTCAGTGATATATCACGATACGTCATCGCGTGATTCCCGTATCGAATCAAAATGCATCCGTATTGATTTTTTAGATCATATTTTCCACGAAAAATTCATTGAAGTGAGTTTCATTTGTGTTGTACTTAAAGCCCGGTCACTAGTTGGCAGTAAACAGCACTAGACCTTATTAAACTACCTTACCACTAGAGAACAAGCCCCCAGGTTCCAAAATGGCCGCCCATTCAAGTCAATGGGCCAAGCTCAATGGCGCATGATCCCAGATTAGCCTAGCCTGGCTAGGTACTTCCGGTGGCTGTGGGCCGACCGAGCATGCGCAGTAGTGCTCTTTTCTCCCGCGGGCACACGCGAATGCATGCGAACGCACGCACGGTGCGCGGGTTCGTGTATCACGTGATCGCTTTGACCAATCAGAGCGAGAGGAGCTAGAACGAAGCAGAGCGTATCCGAAGCTAATGATTATAAAGCGTTTGTTAAGACAACTGAAGGATTTTGAGCTGAGAAAAAGTGCATGATCTAAAAATAGGTAAAAATCGCCACAAAATCCGACATTTTTGAAAGTTGTAGGTGCCCTGTCAGCCGAACACGAGCAGGTTGTGATTACATTGCGGTCTATGAGAAAAATCTTCTCTCGGCCCATGGGATTTTTTTGACTGTAGTACCACTGAGTGGCCACTACGTCAACTCGAGGCAGCTACAAGCTAGCAATACTGTATCCAGTTATTTTAATAGATCCATGCTAGAGAACAACAATATACTCTCGCGAGGACCATACCATGTTAGACTTTAGTATAGATATCTCGCGGTGGTTGGGGCATGGCGCGCGGCTCTGGTCATTCTGAACATGGCAGATGAGGAGAAAGATTTGCGAGAAGCTCCAAGCGTGTACAAGGAGGATATTTGGAAGCATTTTGACTTTTATAACAAAGATGAAACAACAGAGTATGACAAAACCCATGTGGTGTGTAAAGCCTGCTGAGCTAAAATAAAATTCTGCAGAAACACCACTAATCTTCGGACTCATGTGTTAAGACACCACCATGAACTGGAGGTAAACAAGGCAAAACCATCGGCATCTCAAATGACTCTTGAACAAGCTCATTTAGTCAAGTTCCCTCCGAACTCGAAACGTGCTGCAAAAATAACACTCCATTATGTACTACATTTGTAAAGACATGCAACCTCTTAGTGCGGCGGAGAATGAAGGGTTTTGTTACATGCTGACACTATCGAGCCTCAGTACACCATACCTTCCCGACAACATTTTACAGACATCGCTTAGCCAAGAATGTACACTGAAGTAAAGAATACCGTGGTCAATGAACTAGGCTCTGCAGAGCGAGCTGCGTTAACTTGTGATGGTTCAAGAGCCACTGGGTCATACCATTTATACCACCATGTTACCTTTTATTGTTTTAAAAATGCTAAATTTTCTGAAAACAACATATTACCATGTTTAAAAAGTTGTGTTTTTGATGCTCAGAGCTCCTCTTCAGAACACTATCAAAACACAATCAGCACGCATCCCACTAATGAAACTACTGCACATCACACCAGGTTTGAGAAGTTGTAGCCAGTTGTAGTTGTTGTGTGTCACACTTTTGTGTAATTAGGATGATTGTCAGGGCATACAGCTGCAAACATACATGGATGACATAAAACCTTTCCAGACATGTTTTTGATGAGAACAACTTTATAACATGGTAGAAAGCTCCAAAAAGCTTTAAGGTGTGAACTGTCACCTGAATCACACTCAATCTCGTTCATGCCCCCAATGCGTCTTCTAGCACTTATTAGCATACTCTCAGTGGATAGAGTCGTAAATGGGTGACAAGATGTATCTTATGGCTCCATTTCTGTTTGCTGAGAAAACATCGTTAAACATTCAAAGATTAAGCCGTTAATCACAACAAAAGACTTTCAAAATCTATATGTTCCATCGCCTTCCTTATGTAGCTCGGTATATGCAGCCCACATCCTATTACTCCTCTTACCTGAGCAGATTTGAAGGACAAGTAACTACAAAGCCTGCGGGTGTCATTCATCCACATAAATCAAATGTACTTTCTCAGATTCGGGGAGGGCAACTTCTTTCACTGCAGTACTTCTAAGTCTAAGTTTTTAACTGGTAACAAGACAAGCCTGTCAATTAACGGCAAAAACTTCTGCTGAATCGCAAGCCACGGAGAAGGCGACTTTGAGATTTTTTGAAACCGCATGAAACACAACAAAAGATCTTTTGTATGGTAGAGCCGGGAGAGGATGTGAACAGGGCCTTAACGGTCAATGCAGGGATTCAAAATTATTATAAAATGTTAGAACTAAAGATTTTTTTTTTGAATGAATACACAATTATACTACTATTTACAGTGATTAAGCAGTTGAATAAATAAATTAAACATGTAAAGTATGACAGATTTGCATTTTAAGTTTTAGAGATGTAGACAGCTGGATAATGAACAGTGTTTGGAGTAACGTGTTACTGTAATGCATTGCTTTTTGCTGTAACGCAGTAATGTGGCATTACAGGGGAAAACATTTTAATATTTTACACTGTACAAATGTGAGTAATGCGCATAACAATGCCTGGATTAACCTGGATTGAAGTGGTGGGTTTTACTTCATAGAAATTAGCTGAAATCACAGCGATATCAGCAATGGTGAAATGCCAGAGACGCGGCCGCGTAGACCTTCAGTTAACCACGGGTGAAAGGACCGACACAGAACTCTACACTGTTTAGACCTGGTTTAGACCTGGGTCAGTTCTGGTTTAGACCTGGTTTACAGTCGTCCCTCGCTCTATCGCACTTTCACCTTTCGCGGTCTCGCTGTTTTGCCGATTTTTTTTGTGCAATTTTGCATGCTTTTGTTTTTACAGTGTATGAACACGTATTGCGTTCCTCCCGCTGCGTCCTGATTGGCTAAGGGACTCCTGTCTCCTGTACAGTACAGAAAGTGTTCAGCTGCCAAATTTAAATAAATGTTGGATCTCTAGCAGCGTGATTCTGAAGTGCTGTATGTTTGTAAGTTTTCTCCTCGACAAAATCCACAACGTTGACAAAATGTTCTGCACTGATAAAGGCTCCTAGGGTCACACCCAAAAGGCAGAGGACGATGCAAACCATCACACAAAAAGTTGGACTTCTGGACACGCTGAAGGAAGTTAGAAGTTATGTGCTGTAGCAGAGTCTTGCACCGGGTCGGGTACCTGCAAATAGTTGCTGAAATCAGGACCGCGAGCCCACGCAGCAGGGTGTCCATAAAGAACGATCGGGTGACAGCCGCTCTTATCTCCGTGAGGTGCGGAGCAGAGCCGTTCCTTTCTCCTGTGGACACCTTCGAGCCTGTCCCAACAGTGACTCCTGTTTTAGTCCTAGTTCAGTCCTGGTTTAGTCCTGTTTTAGTCCTGGTTCAGTCCTGGTTCAGTCCTGGTTCAGTCCTGGTTCAGTCTGGTTCAGCTCTGGTTCAGCTCTGGTTCCATCCATACACGGCGCAAAAGTTCAGCATCTTAGTTATATCTTAGTTATTTTGGTGAGAGTAACTTAAAGTAATGCAATTGTAATGTAATGCCTTACATTTTAAATGCAGTAATATTGTAATGTAACAAAATACTTTGAAATGACAGTAATAAGTCATAAATAACACATTACAGTTTTAAAGTAACTTGCCCAACAGTGATAATGAAGGGCTACACAAAGATCTGCGAGGTAACAGCATTATAACATGGCCTTTCTGCTTTCAAAAACTTAAAAAAAAAAAAAAAACTGAAAGAAGACTGAAGACTGAAAATGAATTTTTGATAAATGACAGATGATTGGTAAATATTTGTTTCAATTGAAAAAAAAAAAAATGGAAATATGACATTGGGTGCACTCTTTGACTAGGAGTTGTGTGATATTTTGCTCTGTGTTGAATTCTTACACTGGAGCTCTGACCTTGGGGACAGTCTCTGAGGAAGCACAGTATAATTACTTGACAGTCTAATTATTTCCTGATGAATGCAGCCTCTGTAATTATTATGATGACAATACACATGTAGTATGAGATATGAAGCTATAGAATGGGTTTGAGTGAGTTTGTACAATCCCAAATACAGATCTATTCAACCATAAAAGCACTGAGAAGTGGAATTGTATTTTACTTTGAAGTGGGGAAAAGTAAAAAGAAGTATTGTATACTGCATAAGCCCTATTGGGTTTTTTGACTCTTCCGGCACCTACTTTTTATCTAGTGTGTTTCTTTTTATTGTCATGTTATATGTGCAAAATAAATAAATAAATAAATAAATAGCTTATTTTCTTGTACAGTCCCTGACAAAAGTCTTGTCGCTTATCCATTTTGTAGAAACAAAAGCTTATAACCTGACTTTAAATTAATCGATTGGTTTTAGAAATGTCTCATATGAAAGCTAAAACCCTCCCAAATTATGCTCAGCATACTAAAATAAATTTGTTTCACTGAAGAAAGATTGATCATTTAATGAACACAGAAAGGTCAGATTTTGGAAAGACAAAAGTCTTGTCGCCTTGTCATATGCCAATCCTAGATTACAGCCTCATCTGTGATCAGTTACTGATCAATCAATTAGTGGGTGTGTATAAAAAGAACCCCAGCACACCAGACCTTCACATCAACTGTAACTTGACCTCTGACAACATGCCTAAGATCCACCCTGAGACCAAAGCATTAATTATCAAGAGGCTGAAGACCAGATCCACTGCTGAGGTGGTGACACCTTCAATGTGTCTCAGCGTCAAGTACAAAGAATAAGAAAAAGATCTGAAATGACTGGAAATGTTTTTGACAAGCCCAGGTCCAGCAGACCCCATAAGACAACTGCTCGGGAGGACCGTTTGTTGATTAGAAAATCCACGGCCAGCCCCTTTTCCACTGCAGCAGACTCCACCAGGCCTGGTCACCTCAAGTCCCTGTGTCAACCAGAACAGTTTGTAGAATTCTGTCTCGAAATGGCCTCCATGGTCGAATCAGTGCACAGAAACCAGCACTAAACAAAAGGCAATAAAAAAACCGTGTGGCATTTGCCAAGGCCCACAGCCTGCTAAAAGGATGGACACTGGAAAAGTGGCAGAAGGTGGATTTCTCAGATGAATCCTCGGTTGAATTACATCACAGCCGCCGCAAATATTGCAGGAGACCTACTGGAGCCGCATGGATCCAAGATTCACCCAGAAAACAGTTAAGTTTGGTGGCGGAAAAATCATGGTCTGTGGTTCCATCCAGTATGGGGATGTGCGAGACATTTGCAGGGTGGAAGGCAAATATCAATAGCCTAAAATATCAAGAAGTATTAGCTCCTCTTACATTCCCAACCATAAAAGGGGTCAAATTTTGCAGCAGGATGGTGCTCCATCGCATACTTCTATCTCTACATCAAAGTTTCTCAAGGCGAAGAAGATCAAGGTGGTCCAGGACTGGCCAGCCCAGTCACCAGACATGAACATCATTGAGCATGTCTGGGGTAGAATGAAAGAGGAAGCATGGAAGGCCAAACCAAAGAATCTTGATGAACTCTGGGAGGCATGTAAGACGCTTTCTTTGCTATTCCTGATGACTTCATCAACAAATTGTATGAATCATTGTTGAACCGCATGGATGCAGTCCTTCAAGCTCATGGAAGTCATACAAGATATTAAATATGGATCTCACAGCACCACTACTTAATTCACTGACGTTATGCAACATATTTTTGTATTTGACGTAAATTATTTGTTCAATTTTCTGTAGGCGACAAAACTTTTGTCTTGCCAAAATCTGACCTTTCTGTGTTCATTAAATGATCAATCTTTCTTCAGTGAAGCCAATTTATTTTAGTTTATTGAGCATAATTTGGGAGGGTTTTAGCTTTCATATGAGACATTTCTAAAACCAATCGATTCATTTAAAGTCAGGTTATAAGCTTTTGTTTCTACAAAATGGATAAGCGACAAGACTTTTGTCAGGGACTGTATGTTTATTCAAGTTTTACGTCAGGTATTTCTTTGGGTTTGGGACCACAGCTGTTGTTTTCAGTCTCCTGTGCTCATTGTGCTGCTCTAAGCCTTTATAGAGCTGTTTACTCTCTGAATCTAAGAAAGGATCTCAGGCTTGACCTTTTCCTGCCCCACAGCTTGGCAAAACACTTCACTCATCTTGTTTATGAACAAAAGCGTTTTTACTGTGTTACTGAAGGTGGCTCATTCTGGAGTCTTTTTGTTTTAGTTTATACAAGTCTGAGATGTCTTGGTTTTACTCTATACACAAATAATTAACATATGTACCTCATTAACTACAATGTGTAACTGTAATTAATGCCTTGTGCAAAACATGCAATAATGTTCAATGAGGGTTGTCAAAGGTATTAAAATCAGATCCAAAAAATATACTAAAACTGGTAATGAATCTTGATACGCATTTAAACTAAAACCACATAATTTTACATTTAAAAAGCACTGTGTTGTGTTGAAAATTACAGTCTATTGTTTAAAAAAATGTGGTATTGAAATCTGTATTGAGCATTTATATCCAAGTCATCTTACACGTTATTACTGGTTGTAACCACACACTGTATAAAGAAGTGGACGAGAGTGTGATGTCACCCATTAAAGACAAAAAGTGTTTGTTTAAGTGTTGAAGTTTCATCCAATTTTGAAGTGTTTTACTCTTTTTATGAAAAGAAAAAAGCACCAGAGTTAAGAGTTAATGCCATATTAGGGCAAACTGTGAAATTCTTCAAAACTTAAAAAAAAATAAAATAAAAATACTAATACCACTACTACTAACAATAATAATAATAATACCACTACTACTACTATTACTACTACTACCAGTACTACTAATACTAATACTAATAATATTTTTTTATTAAAATTTACATTTTTTAAAATGATTTCAGTGGCCTGTTGTTTATTTGTTGATGTCAGATTGTATAGTTGATTTTTTGTTTGTTTGTTTGTTTTAATCATTTTCAATAATATAACTTATTTTAAATGTAATTAAATTTTAACAATATGCTCATTGCATATTTTTAAGATGTCCCGAGCTTTAAAATGCAGAAAAATGTTTTTTATCAGTGTTTTTTTTTCCTTTTTCTAGGGGTAAATGATAAAATGTAGACTTAAATATACCAGAAAATGTATATATTTTGCATGCCATTGTATTTTCATTTTTTGAGCATTTGAAAACTGCAAAATGTCACTGACCCAAATTCAGTCTGTGATTGTAACTCAGATTTTGGGTCATATGTGTCTAAAACACAATGTTAACACAACTTTATTACACAGTGCATTACATTTGTATTCTATAAAAGTGCATTATATTTGGGTTTACTGGTTACTAGAAATTATTACAAATTATTACTGGTCGCTTCACTGTGCTTTCCACTGTACTTCCTGATTCTAGTACAGTGTATGAAATCAAGTGTTCGTGTATAATTACAGTGCATTAGATTGAAACTATTGCATTAGCTGTACAGACAAAAAAAACACTTGCCAGCTCCTGTGTGACTAGATTTGAACACTCTGAAATTGGATCATATCAGAAAATGGTTGCGTGGATAAAATGTAACCTGCCAACATGCCCGGTGCACCTGTCAGCCTCACCTGTCGGAGCGCACACTATATATCTCACTGTAGGCACGAACCTGGGGATGTTGAGGAAGACCAAACACTGCAGCTTCAGCTCCTGCACTTTGGCTGTCAGATCGGTTCCATCGCACTGGCGGAGAAGACAGGAGAACAAGCAGTGAGGGAGAGTGGACTAAATGAACGGGGCTGGTCTGGGCACACTTACCACCACTTGGATGTGCTTGGAGAGATCCTTGGAGCTCCCCGATAAAAAGTCGGAGAAGGCGGTCTGCGGCAGAGGGAGGGGGAAGTTCAAACGTTACATGACAGCTGGAAGATATGTTAGAACTGCTCTGAAACTGCGAATATGACTGGCAGAACAAAGATTCATGTGAAGGAGGCAGGGAGAGGAGTTGTGTTAAAAGGAAGCCGTTGCAAGTTCTTTCTTAGTAGTTGAGTTTTGAAGTTCTAGTTCAGTTTTTCGGTATGAACATTTTCTAAACTAGTAGTCACGTAAAGTAGATGTCTGAATTTAAAATGTAAATAAACAAGTAGTAAATATTCTCTTCTATTTGTAACTTTTCATAACCACAAGCAGTATAATTTGTCTCGAGGCGCAATTCAGATTGTGTTCTTTGACAAGACAGAGATTTGTTTATTTGAGTGACACATGTGAAAAAAAAGGAGCTCCTTGGTCACCCATCATTTTGAACAAAATCAAGATGCTCAGATTAAGTTGAATGATCTGTCAAAATCTACAATATTGTTCAGTCCCTTGTGATATTTTTGTCCTTTCTTCTTCCTCGTAAGCAGCCGTATTTGTTTTTTGATTCAAATACAGATGGGCCTGATTTTCTAATCCACCTGACAATCATGCCCATCTGAAAACTGGAAGGAATAAGATAATCTAACGTTGAAATGGTGGCCAACAGTTCTAGCAATTTATGCTTTTTTCCCCACTTTAAATCATAACGTTCTATGATTTGGTCAACATGTACACAGCTAAGCTCATGTACAAAGTCAATCATCATAAAATTCCTCTTTGTTTGCAGGCAATGTTTACTCAGAGAGAAAGTAAATGTAAAGGATTACATGTATGTTCAACAGACCACATGTAAGAACAACTCTGAAAAACACATTGCTCATCAAGCAGTTAGTTATGGAACAGTTGCTGCAATGAGAATAGTAATGGAAAAATATCGGAAAGAATAACGACAGTAAAGAGATTTTAGTTATAATTAGAATAATTGTAGATTTTTTTATTAAGATGTAGTAAAATATTGTATTAAAGTCATAATCATTTTGAGATTAATGTTCATGAACGTGCTGTGGTTGGAGATAAGGGGAGATAAGCTGCCTGAGATAATTCTGCCTACACCTGCTCACTCTATATATATATATATATATATATATATATATATATATATAATATATCTCTCTCTCTCTAAATATATATAGAAATATATAACATAAATATATAATATAAGACCTGGACATAGTCCAGCTCCAGGGCCACATAAGTTTTTTTGGTCGACTTTGAATGGCCCATTTAAACTCATTTGGAATTACAAAATAAACATATTTTATCATTTGACCTCATGCCTGGACTAAATCTGCATTGCTTTTCTTTAAAGGGTGTTTTTTTAAATAACATTTTGTGTAAGGCAGCCTCACTTTTTCATTGCATTTCATTTTTTACATAAATCCCAGTGTGATCAGCTCGCCCAAACAGCTATTTACTTTTTATAAAGAAATACAATAAATATTATGCAGAATTGAGTGAAGCATTCTGACCTGGCCGTCCACATTATTTTCTGTTTCTCATGTGACCCCATGTAAAAATAACTGCCCATTCCTGTGTATACTTTAATCATAACAAAAGTAAAACAAAATCTATTTAAATAAGTATTAAATAAGTATTCATAAATTGTAATTTTTTTAAAGACAGAGTTGAAATTTCTCTATTATTATTATTATTATTTTAATTGTTGCATAAACTTCAATTATAATTTACAAAATGCTGTCTGTATTAGCTTCTAGCACTAGCAACATTTCCGAGAACTAATTACCTTCACCATTTGAATGTCCCATTATTCTAAGCAGAGTCTGTGGACTAAGTCATTTCTACAATTAAAATATTACTAAATGAGGAGCCCTGCTGTGGCAGTCAGATTGGGTTATTAGTCGAGTTGAGGCTGGCAGCATAATTTGAACTAGCGAACTAACAAAACAATCCACCGGTGCCCGATAATAGGACCGGTGAGGACACATACTCACCCCAGCATAAAACATCTTGTTCTTGAAGCGGCTGTTGAACTTCTCCGGATTTGCTTCTGGAAATGAAATCAAATTTGAGAAAGTTAGGAAGAATGTATAATGTTTTGATTTTAACTTTTGTTTTTGTCGATGACATGACGTACCTCTGGACTCATGAAACCCCAGTGTGACATGGGCGTCGAAACCAAGACTGAAGTAGTTGTTGAAGACATCTAGAGGGAGCTGGATTAGTCAAAGACAAAAATAAATAAAGTAAATGTGTCACTATTTCCCAAATTGAACCAAACAGAAATTGTACATATTTTAAAATCTAATAAATATTTAAATACAACGTTAAACAAAATGAATGAATGAAGTCTGTCTAAGAAACAAGAAAACTACAACTGCTACTTAAGGATACATACAATATTGGCAAAAAGTACTACCTGACAAATTATAGTTATTAACATTTTGAAATCTTATCCATAAGTTATTCCCAATATTTTCAAGATATTTTTGTAGTAAATACTGTATTCACTTGCATGTTTATCATATAATTGTGTTAGGGTATAAGAATTTTCTAAAGTAAATAAGTACAGATGACATTGGGGTATTGTTTCTCCTGCAAGAACATTTTCCATACCTTCCATTGCAAAAGGACAATGGCAGAAGACGACTGTAAATATAAATGACACTTTCTATTTGAAAGTGTCATTTATATTTACAGTTGATTTTTAAGCTCATGTAAATGGTTTCTTTTTAGTGTGAGTAATGCACAGATGGAGTGGAAACGAATAGGGCGACATAATGATTGGCGTTGTGCATTTGTAAAGTCTACCATATGTTACACAATTTCATTATGTACTAAATCTTTGACATCATGCTACAGATGACATTCATTTTATATTTTTCTGTCTTTCTATTTGTATAATATTGGTATGACAATACATAGAAAACTTTATTTCCAAGGTTAGGTTTGTGGCACCTCTAAAAATACTACAACAAGAACTTGGTTTAGTCAAACAGTAATTAAACAAATATTGAAATGAATAGCAAAATATTCACTATTTCATCACTGCAGACATGACACATGATGATGATATGTATCATCATCATGCACACTGTCTAGTGTAGGACGTTCTATGCTCAGGCAAATATTCTTTTGCGTAAGTTTGGTTCTTGTACAAATGATGTTAAGTTGATATTGTTTAAATCGTATTGTTCACCGTTGTATACAGCTCACCTCTGGACTCATTATAAAAAATCCAGTTTACAAAGACTGCAGGTGCCTACAATGACACTTTACGGGTGCTTTTGAGGAGGCCATGATGGACAAGTGCGACTGAAATGTTTGTTACTGCACGAGTGAACACTTGGCAAGCTGTACTAAGAATTTTAATGTACCGTATTTTCCGGGCTATTAGACTTGTTCTTAAGCCTCTAACCGCATCAAAAAACAACCGCGCGCCCCACAATCCAGAGCGCCCTATACACGAACCCACTTGGGTGTCCCAGCATGACTTCAGTAAACTACAAAGCTGTACCACCTGCAGAACACACAAACACACAGAGCAGACAGAGACCACACAGCCAAAAACACCCACAGACACACTCATCACTACACGCCGACGAGGAATGGAACGGAAGAACGAACCGAAAAAGCGAGTGCATGTAATGTGAAACTTCTAGACACAACTGAACAACTGAGTCACTGCGAACACGCCGACAATCCGTTGGTCCCAGACAGCACCCTCCCTACACGCCACAACTGAACAAAGCCCAGAGTCACCGTGAACGCCACAAACAAACAAAACCACTCACCCATCACACTGTTGGGTTTCCTTTAAAGTCCTGTGCTATTTATTTGTGAAAAATTTAATGACATGCGTTTTATAATCCAGAGTGACTAATAGCCCGGAAAATACAGTACAGTTTTATCTGCAGACTGACCAAATCAGACAATGAAATAATAATGTCACTCACAAATCTGAGATTCAGTGGAATAAGATATCAGTCCAATATGTGGAGACACTGGTATGGTTGTCTTTTAAAAACCTAAATGTTTATTGTTTTGTATTGTCACTGTCCTTGTCTGTTTTTAAAATGGACCATGAGTCCGGAATAAAGATGATGATGACTAATGTACTAATCTACTACTGTTTTCTAAAATATACACAGCACAGGATAAAAAAGGGATTCCAAATAAACAGCACTTAAAAATTCAGATTTCTGTTTAAAATGTGGCATGTCATTTGGCTCAGTTTTATTATAATGTGTTTTTTTTTCTTTTCCAAATTATTCAGAAAAAATGATTTTTAAATGAGCTCTTAACTGCAGGCCCTGTCTAAACATTTCAGTAAAAAGTACTACAATTATCTGTTTATAAAAATGGTGAGTCTATCGCAATGAACAATTGACCACCTTTCATATAAACTAATCAGTGTGTCACTTCCTGATGTAACCATGACAACAACATGACACCAGTACGTTCTGTGTCAGTCCTCTTTTGTTAATTAGACCCGTGTTGAGAGATGACTCAACTTTGACTGCAGAGCTCTGTGGAAAATAATTGGACAGGAGTTTGAACCTTATCGGTCTGTTGCTCGTCCGAGTCTGTGGGAACGCTGTGGTTGGGCTCGACGCGCAGGTTCCACCGGTCCAACTGCACCGCGTCCCCGTCCTCCACATGGGACAGGATCTTCGACAGAGGCTCATCTGTGTAGCCCTACAAGTTACACAGATAAAATACTATTATTTACTATGCATTTAGCATAGTAAATAATAGCACTTTACACTTTTTCAGTTTTAAAGATTACACAAAATTGACTCGTATGAGCTTTAAGCCACGTTAGATGTGTGTTGAAGTGATCCAGATGATTCTAAGTGAAGGGTTAAGGAGTTTAAAAGTACAGTGGAGCACTTCCTGTATTACCATATGACATCACAAAGTGGAGTGTTTTCCATTTGAGAGAAGAACTCAGCCTAAATATGAAAGGTTTGAATCCATGTATCATTCGTTTATTCGTTTTTCAATATAAAACCAAAAATAAGAAAACAAAAAACAACTGTTTTCTTTGTTATTTGTCTGCAAAACCGGATACGAAAAACGGATAACGATTCGTTTTTTCAGTTTTCGATTTTGTGTTTAAATGAAGAAAATGGAAAAAACGGATAACGGCCGTTTCCCATTTACCTGACTTCCCTGACTGCTATACCGAACTTTTGCGCTGCATACGGACTGAACCAAAACTGATCCAGGTCCGGGACCAGAGCGGGACCAGAGCAGGACTGAGACCGGGACCAGAGCGGGACCAGACAGGGACCAGGGCGGACTCCGACCTTTGAGCCTCCACGGGGTCCGAGCCTCAGCTTTGAGCTCCGGCCCTGCCGTGGGCTCTGAGCCTCCGGTCTGGTCCCGGCCTGATCTCGGTCTCAGTCTCAGTCTGGTCCCGGGTTCAGTTCTGATCTCAGTCTCGGTCTGGTCCCGGTCTAATCTTAGTCTGGTCCCGGTCTGGTCCCGGTCTAATCTTAGTCTGGTCCCGGTCTGGTCCCGGTCTGAGTCCCGGTCTGGTCCCGGTCTGGTCCCGGTCTCAGTCCCGGTCTCAGTCCCGACTGACCTGGATCAGTCCTGGTTCAGTCCGTACACGGTGCAAAAGTTCGGCATCACAGTCACGGAAGTCACGTAAACGGGAAACGGCCGTTATCCGTTTTTTCCATTTTTCATTTAAACACAAAATCAGAAACTGAAAAAAACGAATCGTTATCCATTTTTTCATTTTGGTTTTGGAGACAAACAATAAAGAAAACTTTTTTTTTCATTTTCTTATTTTTGATTTTATATTGAAAAACAAATGAACGAATGATACACGGATTGGTTTGTGTGTTAAACAAACAACAAAACACTCCAGGTATGTATTTGATTAGGAAACAACATTAAAACATTAATTTATAACATTAATAATAACAGCATATATTTATTATAATAGGCTCTATTCATGCTTACGTCACAAACCAAGAATGCGTTTGGAAACATGCAATGACAACTTTCGGCAGGCTCTGTTTGCAGTAGCAGGCTCGGACTGGTAATCTTTACTATCGGGAAAATGCCTGGTGGGCCGGTCCACTTCAGACCACATTTGGGCCGGGGCTGTGTGTACAAAAAGCAGAGGTCGGTAATACGATGATAATAATAACTCCCGATTGGCCGATTTGTGGGGGAAAAGTCTAGGGCTGTTTTTTGGTCCCAGTCCGACCCTGTGCGGTAGTAAGTCTGACAAAATCTAGAAAAAAATTAGAAAATGTCCCAGTTTTCTTCATCTCCATGTCATTGTAGTGTTCTGTAATGTTCAGCTCATCAACAATTCCAACCATAACTCAGTTTTCATTATTTCCAAACTGACACACAACTCCGAGTGCACTGGTACATGTGATTAGAAGAGATGAGGCGACAAATTCCAGATGATGAACAGCACATACATCTGCAGTCTTCATTTTAGCACTGAGCGCATTTACTTCAATGGGTTTGATCACCAGTGGGTTTGGTCGGTGAGTCCAGTGTCAGGAACTACACCAGAAGTATCATCACATGTTTCCAAACGTCTTCCTGGTTTGTGACGTTAAGTGTGAATACAGCCTATTGTTTTATTATTCATAGTTTTATGTTGCACCACACTGCAGCAGCTAGTTCCTAATTGGTCAGTTCTGTCTGACAATAGTAATAAAACTTTTTCCTCATTCTGATGTTTCGCAGTATGGCATCTTGTAATTATTGATGGGTGTTTTTATTGCCAAAAAATACCTTGCATTCCTACTAAGGGTGTGAGAGTGGGGTTGCCTTTCCACAGATCTATTCACTAACGTAGCCTAGTGAAGCTTCCTACTTGTCTCCATTGACTGAAGTTCAATGCTACACTCTAGAACATTCAGGTAAAGAAATGCCATCTCCACAACGGTGAACCCTCCCCCACAAAAGCTCCATAATATACCTTTAAAGTGTGTGGTAGATGTTGAGTGGACTTACCGCGCCCCAGTTGAGAGTCCGGGCCAGGTCGTTCCCTGTTCCTAAGGGTAACACGGCAACGGGGGGCTGAGGGTTGAACGAGAGGTCTTCAAGACATGACAGGATCCAGCCAACCTGATTAAACACATAAAAATCTTCAATCATTTTGTCATCTTGGTAGTACCCATATAAGGTCAAAAGTAGGTACCGTATTTTCCGCACTATTAGGAGCTCTGGATTATAGGACGCACTGTCATTAAATGGTCTATTTTTGAACTTTTTTCACATATAAACCGCATGGGACTTTAAAGGAAACACAACAGTGTGATGGGTGAGTGGTTTTGTTTGTTTGTGGCGTTCACGGTGACTCTGGGCTTTGTTCAGTTGTGGCGTGTAGGGAGGGTGTGTCTGGGACCAACGGATTGTCGGCGTGTTCACAGTGACTCAGTTGTTCAGTTGTGTCTAGAAGTGGCACATTGCACTCCCTTTTTCGGTTTGCTCCTCCGTTCCGTTCCTCGTCGGCGTGGAGTGATGAGTGTGGGTGTTTATGGCTGCGTGGTCGCTGTCTGCTCTGTGTGTGTTTATGTGTTCTGTGGGTGGTGCGGCTTTGTAGTTTACTGAAGTGGTGCTGGGACACCTGAGCGGATTCCTGTATAGGGTGCTCAGGATTGTGGCGCGCGGTCGTTTTTTGATGGGGTTGTAGTCTTAAAGGTTGTATGGAGGATTTTTTTTGTTTCAAATTGTCAATGATAGATTATAGAGGTGTAGTAGCCTTGTAATTATGATGACCAAAAAAAGAGAATAAAAATTCATCAACTCTCGACGTGGTGGGGCTAAACATTTGCCAATAGATAACGACACTGCCTCGTTATCTGTTAGCTGACAGGCTGTCAATCAAACTCCCTACGTTTCTAGCGTAACTGACTTGCCTGCGCGCCGCCGGTACGTGGTTTATGTACGCCTGTCACGCAGTCCACAGACGCTGTTTACTCCACCAACGCAACAGTTCTTAGCGGCTTTTTTTTACCTATATCTTCCTCGCAGTTAGCACAAAGTTTGTTGCAATGGCGACAAGAATCCAGGAGCAGTTAGCCGCAAAAGAAAGTCCGTTTTTGAGGTCGCTGAAAGAAGAAGACAAGGGGAAAAGCAGCGAAGCCAAACTAAGGTGATTCTTGAAGATTCATTCCAGCGATGGCACAACTGAAGCAGACGCAGGGTCTAAAGACTGACGCACTGGTCGCCAAATTACTCCTGGACAGGAAACTTCTGCTTATTATGAAAACGTACTTTATTTCCAAGAGCTAGACAAACGTTTTTCAGGACACGAAAGCGATATCCTATGTCTGAAAACGTCATTTTCAAGGCAAAGAAAGAGTCCGCTTGCTGCTGCGTGTTGTAGCTAGTTCATTCGCACTGAATCTCCACGCACCCTTCTCTGCACCCCTTTCCTGCTCCTGTCCCCGCTGCCCGATCCGCTCTTCTCCCTGCTCCTCACTTCTCAGGGCACGGAATCTCCGCGCACCGCTCCCCTCTCCTCTCCTCTCCTCTCTCCCTGCTCCGCTCTTCTCCCTGCTCCTCACTTCTCGTCCGCGCACGAAATGTCCGCACACCCCCTCCCCCCGCTCCTCACTTCTCCGTCTTGCCTAACCAACACTGTAGTTAGTTGTTTACAAGTCATGTGCAGCACCAGCTGTAAACAAACCTGTTTCTGGCGTAAGGAGGAGGCGGGAGGAGGCGGGAGGAGGTGTTTCTACGTAGGGAGCTGTAGGGGAGGGGGGGGGGGTGGTTTCACGCATGCGCAACATTTGAAAAAGGACAAACAGTCGCTGGATTTCTCGTTCCTTGGAAAATCCTCTATACAACCTTTAAGAGTGCGTCTAATAGCCCGGAAAATATGGTAAGTCTGTTCAAATTATTGAGCTATTTTCTGATCAATAATGTTCTAATGTTGTTTCCTCATCACAAACAGACCTGGAGTTGTTTTGTTTCATTCACATGTTTAACACACAAATTCTGCTTATTTAGGCCGAGGTCTTCTTTCATTCACAAAGCACTCCACTTCCACCTTGTGATGTCATGGGGTAATACAGGAAGTGCTCCACTGTGTTTTTAAACTCCACACACCTTCACTAGAATAATCTGGATGATCTCAGCCCAGGAATTTTCAATCTCTACTAAACAAAATGTTAAAATATCTTGGAAAACTACCACTTCATGACATCACAATGTGGAACAGAGCATTTTGAGATGTAAACAGACTAATAATAAAGGATTACTCAAATATATGTGAACAAAACCAAACTCAAATTCAGGTACGTTTTTGACGTGGTAAAAGCATTGTAACTTTATAACGCTCAAATTAATGCATTTTCTGTAATAAAAAAAAGTTAAGTTACTTTCCAAACGTTTTATACCGCACAAGGAGGTGCATTTTCCAACTAATTATCTTATTTCTATACATATTCCATCCAAAGTTTTGCATATTTACACTACAAAAAATGAACTCTAGAAAGGCCGCAGAATCTGAATTTCAAACAGCCTGGGTGCCTCTGCTCTCTGCTTGGATCAATGTGTCAGAAACATTTTGAGGCATAAATTGGTATATTATGAGTAACAGCCACTTAGGGAAAACAAGTCAGAGCTCTAAATTGTTCCAAAAAGATAAAAGAACCCAGAATGCTTTGTAAAAGGCTGAATAATATTAACAGGGCAAGCAAAAAATGCCACTTTGAGTAATGAGTAAAGAGTTGTTGATGTGCGTGAAGCCAAAACCACCAATCATAATATCCAACTCATATTCAATTAATAACATTGCTACAAATATAACTACTACTATTATTACAACTACTACTACTACCACTTAATCTCTGCTGCCAGCTACGATCAGCTTCTACTACTACTACCAGCTACTACTACCTACACCTAGTACTATCACTGAAGAATTGTGAGAGTGACTTTTCAGCTAGTTTATGGCAGTTATTACAATAACAACTACCCAGAAATTCCCTCAAAAAACCTCTTTGGATAATGGGAAGACATTTAGAAAAACACTATCAAAAGTTCATAAGCTCAGAATAGAAACGATTATATAAGATCTGAATATGTAGTATGAATATTTGGAGTCCTGATGACTTACTGTGCCGTCGCCTCCACAGGCCAGGATCCTCAGGTTTGGCACTTTGCGGTACAATTCCAGCCTACACAAAAGTTCAAAGATTCAAAATTAAATCATATTCTTGATTATAAATAGTTATTAGAATCCCATAGTGGTCCTACCCCTCCTTGGGCCCTCCGTTGCTGAGGTCAAACACTTGTCTGGGGTTCAGGTACCACATCATCGACTGCATGATCTTTGTGCCCTGTCAGAGACCAGAATCAGATCACGTGACCATGAAGTACAAATAAGTCATTGTTACTTCATATAATTAAATAGCCTATAATTGATCAACGTAGCCCCCAGCATCCCCAGACTCCAGTGATGGCTTATGGGGTTAAAACTGCATAGGAGAAGACAAGAATTTTATCTATGACGCAACAAAACAGGCAAAATGAAAGAGGAGCATTTTTCAGTGCTCAGAGAAAATTACTTTGGATTAATTACTGGTAAACAAGCAATGAAATACAATTCCAGGCCTGTTTTGGATGAGGGGACAACAATATAACATTGTTACTAAAGCCCAAAAGGTTCTTAGTATTTCCTTAGTATTTCTATGTTACTTTTCAGCACTCTACCATATGGTTATGCTGGTTAAGTAGATCACATGACACATCCATCTGACCTCCTGGTGATGGCAGATATGTTTACTAACTCTTAATGACAGCGCGACCTACTTTACGTGATACACCACTGGCCTGATTTGAATGTAAAAGCTCTTCACTCAGAAAATCGGAGAAGGAAAGCAGGGCACAACTGTATGTAAAAGTGAACGATAGGGCTAGATCTGATATTATGAGCACAAATATTGATTTTCACTGGATTTCATTTAGTCAGATCAAAGAAATTCTCAAAGAACATTTTATTTTTGTTGAAATAGAAAATGGCCCGACAAAGATATGTCTGAATTTGTATTGACCTCAACCAGAATTAGTAGACTGGTTAATTTTATCTTTTCAGTCAAAACATGCCTGGAATTTGGATTTAGACTTACTATTGTAAGCTTCTTACCAAAGAACATATTGTACAGTACAGTTTGAAATGGGGTGAAGAGCGGGAAGAGACCTTCATCCAACTTTTAGAGCTGAGACTGTTTTATCTTGGGTAAAAAATACCAAGACCTTTTTAGTTTATTATTATTATTATTATTAGTTATTTCAATACTTTTATTATTAAATGAAGACATTAATAGCAAGCACTGCAACTGCAGTTTTATAAAAGGATTCTATTCTGTTCACATTTTAAAGTGAAGATTGAAGACTAATAAAAAAAGACTTAAAAATGGTTAGCAGTTTTTATACAGAATAAGAACATTAAAGTACTTGAAAAATAGCTGCTTTTCCCATTCAATTAATCTTCTACTTATTATTTTTTATATTTATTATGCCAAAACATGTATCAAAAATAGAACTGCAATAGATGGACAACAGCTTTTGGGCCATTCATTTAGAGGTTGCCTAGTTTGTCTCCAATTGTTCAGCCCACAGGAATCCACTGGGACCTGCCTAATTCTTTACACATAATAGAAACATAATTAAAATTCCTGGCCCAATGCTGCGCTGCACACTGTAGCTCCAGTTATTAATGCCACTCCAAAGACTGTAGCCATAATAACCTCCAAAATGAGTCTCATTTAAAAATGCACTTCTCTTTTGTGTGGTGGGATAAGCTGGTTTAGTGGCACGTACCTGGTTTCCTCCGCTCTTTGGGTTGACAAAAACTAGCAGAGGTTTCATAAGAGGAGAGGGAACAGGTCGGATCAGAAATGGCTTCCACGGTCGGCCCTCCTGGAATAAAAAACATATACACAAAATCAACAATCTACAGACGTGTTCCAATCTGAGAGCCAGACTTTTCAGTGTAGCAAACAGCGTCTAACACAAATATTTAAGTCAGAAACGAGAAAAAAAATCGATCATTTGGGGAAGTGGATACCAACTTTTTGTATGCCTCGTTACTCTCTAAACATATACCTATTACTTTTCAGAAATACATCATATGAAAACCCAATTTATAAATATATTTAGCACATGAAAATATCTTTTTGTTGTTATTCAATTTCCTCTACCTTAACAATATAACCTTATTTCATTTTAGGTTAGGAATTAACTTAAAATTTAGTTAATTATAAAAATACATACTTTTTGAATATAATATATCTATGGAATAGTTTAGATAGAAAAAATATATATATTATCTTTTTCTTCCTTGAATAAAGGTTTTTTTTTCTCCTTACTTTTATAACCCCAGACACTTTGGTTTGTGTCTATTTCATTACATTCAAATTAAAAGATTATAAATAACTCCTGCGGTGCATTCAACCAAAGGAGTTTTTAGTGAAATGTGAGTATGAGTATGGTTGCCTCTCCACAGATCTTACCTGTGGTGGCATCATCTGCGTATACTCAGTGAGAGATAATGCCCACTGTGGAATATTCTAGGCAAAATAATTAAATCTCTATGGAGACAAGCAGGTGGCACACCTTTCACTAGAAAAGTAACATTCAAGTATATTTCACTTGAAGCTCCTGAGGCACAGTGGTCTGTGTAGCCCAGACTGAGTAATCCAGATTTAGGCCACATACCCTGAGACTGCGCACAAACACACAGGAGTTTGGCGACATTTAGTTTTCATATTGATCTGATTTCAAAGAGCAGAGTGTGACAGGCCTGACCTCAGACGCCCTCTTGCTGCTCCTCCTTTTAAACGACGCTCGCTTGTTCTTCTTACTGTTTTTCACTGAAGACTGTCAACAGCGCACACACACACACACACAGAAAGAGACAAATGTTACTCCTGCACTTCAAGACTCCATTCTGGGTTTATATAAGAACGCTAGGATCAGAGAGGTAAAATATATATATATAAGGTAGGAGAGGGCACAGGTTTTCAAAATATTCATAGATTTAGCGCATCCTTCAAAAGCGACATAAGGCAGCGCATAAAACAGATGAATAGAACAGATGTATAAAAAGATGTATAGTGTAATAATGCATAAAAATGTGCATCTGCTAACCAAATGGTATGTTTGTTTGTTTGTTTGCTGCTGTACTGTACTGTTATTGTAGAATGCTAAGATGTATGTGTAGCAGGTGGTGCCACAGGGTGTCGCTGCTGGGCCACACCCAGGCGGAATTTAAGGGGAAGTTGGCTGTGTGCCCGGGAGGGTGTCAGTTTCCGTGGGTGGCCAGGTAGACCGCTGGACCCACGTGTGCGTGCGTTTGGCTGAAGATACGGGTGGGTTTTTAGATGGTTTGTGTGTGAGTGTAAATGAAACTGTGTTTTGAAAATTGATTGTTGTGTGTTAGGGCGGCCACGCTGTTTTTAAAAGAAACTTGAGCAGTGCTACGGGGAAGCTGTGTGTGGATGTAGCAGCATTTTAAATTGGTTTTAAATCATTAAAGTTTATCAAGTTGTCAGTTTTTTGTAATTTGGGTTTTTTGTTTTTTGCAGTTGTTATTGTCCCTGCTGTCCTGTAGTTGTTTGTTTTTTCCGGTCACTTCCTTTTTTCCCTTGAGCTTGTCCATTCATATTAAATAAATAACCTAAATTGCATCCCCGGCTCCGGACCTTTATTACCACGGCTGTAACATATGCAGAGGTGGGCAGTACTCAGTTACATTTACTTGAGTAACTTCTTAAATCAGACCTGGGCATTGTCCAGCTCCGGGGCCACATTTGGCCCTTTGGTCAAATCTGACCGACCCATTTAAGCTCATTTGGAATGACAAAACAAATCTTTCTGCATTTTTTTTTCTTTTAGAGGTGTTGTTGTAGTCAAGCAGCCTCACTTTTTCATTGCTTAGTCATAACATAAACTCTTACAAGTCTGAGTAGCTAATATTTTCAGTTTCTCATGTGGCCCCATGGAAAAAATAATTGCCCACTCCTAGCTTAAAAGAACTGTACTTTTCAGAAAACGCAGCATACTTTTATGCCTACTTGAGTAATATTTTTAGTAACAGTAACGATACTCTTGCTTAAGCAGGTTTTGGTTACTCTTTCCACTGTAACGATACTTTTACCCGAGTACAGATTTTGGAAACTCAACCCACTTATAACCTTTGTGGAAGGGTTTTATTTTGAAAGCACACATTTCCATATAAAATAATCAATGTTTATGGTTATTTAAAAGCAGTATTAAATTTTACTACTTGCTTTTGAGTAGCCCATTGAACCATACTTTAACATGAACAAAATCCAATCTGTTTGCGAGTACCTGATGCCGGCGGACTCGAACGATCCAGGTGGGAGGGACTATAAGCGCGGCGTGGGCTCCTATTGGGCACGGCTCCTCTATGTGCTGGAGCATGAAGCAGGACACTTTATTGTGGTACTGTTAAAAAAAACAAAATAATAATCATTATCCGGAACCATCAATCACATTTCTATTACTATTTCCACGAATACAATAATTACAAAATGTTATTGGAAGCATAATTCACTCTGCGATCCTTGCTGTGGGCACTCAGCTTAATTCAGTTAAAATATATTAGCAAAATGGCGGACATGATAACAGTAGTAGATTCTGATGATAGTTTTGTTGTATTATCTAAGATGGATGCACAATTTTGACTGTGAGTCATTCTTTGTCATAATAATGGGCGCGTGTGGGTGGGAATGTGTTGACTCACAGCCTGTTTGCACCAGGAGCAGCTGATGGCCACTATGTCTTTGCTGTGGAAGGTGAATTTTTGCTGGAAGCCCTGGAAACAACAGAACAAAAATATTTTAAGGGGATAGAGTTGTCAAAAGTATAGAACATCAGACGCTAATCGGTACCAAAACTAGTATTGACGTTACCACTGAGGGATTACAGAGATATAAGGACGCATGTATTTAGTATCGTGACAACACTAGCATAGAGAATTTTTTTTCAGTTGACTTTTTTTCAGCCTTGTTAGTTAATGTGTGAAAAATCCCTCAGTCATCCAGGTAGAACTGAAGAAGCAGCTTGGATGAGCAAATAAATTTTGTCCAGATGACAAACTGAATTTCTCCTTTGCCTTGTTAGTTAATGTTACTCATAAATATACTGAAACTTAACTGAAATTTGCACTCAAGTTTCCAAAAAAGATGATTATTATGAAGACATAATTCAAAATTCTCCAAAAGTATAAATATAAAATGATTTCATCCATGGAAATTATCTACAACTTAAAAACCAATGTACCTGATTTTTACAGTGTCAAAAATGGGAAAAACAGAACTTGTATAAGATAAGATGTTTGGGTAGGACAGGGTTATCAAAAGTATTGTACGGCTGTGCATTTAATAGAATTTTGATCACGATTTCAATTTGTGTGATGATGAAATGATCTCCAAACTCACATAATGGAGTTGAAACAATTTAACTTCTGTCGAAAATGAGGACCAGGGTGCGAGGACTGTAGTTTTGCAAGGATTCAAGTGGTGCCCCCCCAAACACCAAATGCCGTACCCGCTGTGTGTAATGCGTGTTGTGTGTAATGTGTGTTGTGTGTAATGTGCGTAATGGAGAGCTACGGCACTGATCATCTCCATAAACTCAAGGAGAAGGGTAGCACCAGGACTCACATCTGTCTCACAGGACTCACATCTGTCTCACTGTTGCTGGACTTATTTTCTCCTCTAAAGCATTTGCTCTGCTGCCACATGTAAACAAACAGCACTGTGTGATAACATCATCGGCTGTGGCTCGGTTTGGTTGTGCGGGTGAGAGTGTGGAACATAGAACCCACAGCAATTGGCACGGGTCTGAAGTCCTAGTGTGAGTCGCCCTGAAGCTTAAAGTTTATTTTAGGATTTTATTCACATAAATAAATATATTTTTTTATTTTTTTTAATATAGAGATTGTAGAACAGCTGGATTTATACTTTATTTTGGATAAATTTATGTTTTTTTATGCCTTCTTTCATGTTCAAAGTATATTTGATTCATTTTATGTTGTATACATTGCAAAACTGCTCTAAGGTACAGATTTGTAGCCTATATTTATTTTCAATTTGAAAGTTTTGCATAAATTATCAGTAACAAAGTGTTTTTTTTTTGAGAGAGAAACCCTGAATAAATGCATAGTGCAGCTAAAAAATAATAATTTGATAATCGTGATTTCAAAATTGACCAAAATAATTATGATAATGATTTTTTCCATCATCAAGCAGCCCAAAAGTATCATAAATCAGATATTAATCCAAACTACAACTGGTATTGAAACTAGATACTCATTTGAGCAGGTATTGATACTAAAAAAGTCAAATTCACAGGACAGAAGTGAACCCTTCCTGAATGTCTTTAGAATGATGTTGAGCTGTGTTAGATCAAGTAGACGAGCACATAAACTAGTACACACACACGGACACTATGAACCTACTGAACCACTGAGGGATTACACACAGATAAGAACACATGGGAACATAATTGAAAGTAATTTAATGTTGAAAATGGCATTGTGTTGTCTAGAGAAAGTGTTTCTATTATCATTGTGGTACTGGTATTGCGTGTTGAGTCTATTCCTTAGTATCTAAACTGAGTTTGAAATTTAGCATGATCGTAGAAAACTTATATAATGCAATACAAAACATTTTATTTATATGTAACCATAGTAACACTCACCCTCCCACACTGCTTACACTTGCCCTCTTGTCTCCTACGGTGGACCCAGTGATGGCGGACCACCAGAGGCTACAACACAACACACACTCACAGGTCAGAACTTTCATGCTGCTTCCGATTGTTCTTCCAATCCAAATTCCAAAACGCATTTACCTCTCTGTGATTCCTTGGCCCTCCTTCGCGGAAAGACGGTTTGCACCTAAAATTAATCTGAAAATAAAACAGAAATTGAGTTCAGAATATCTTTTCAAAGTATTGTTTCAGAGTTCAGATCCCAGTGCCTCCTGGTGTAAACATTTGAAAGGAAAAGGAAAGGTTAAGTGAAGTCAAGTTTATGAATGTGTTGTGAGCTATTCTGACAACTCCATAATTTAAGACTTCTTTAATTTTATGTATTTATTTATTTTCAAATATTTACTCATGATTTGTATAAGAACAGGCACAGCACATTTATAAACCTATAGGACAATAGTAGTGATTGTCAAGTCTTCCCCTGAAAGAACCAAAGAGAAAGAATACTGCATATTTAAAGTTGATTTAATGTTATATTCTTGCATGAAATTAGAAAGTATAGTATAAAAAATGCACATATAGATAGAGCTATCAAAATATAAAACATGATTATGAATTTTATTATTAATGGAGATTAATTATTTCAGATAGTTTTTTTCTGTAATTAGGTGGAGAAAAGATTATTTAAAACATTCTGCACCAGCTAAAGTAATCTTTTTCATTAATCACATTGTGTAATATAGTATATACGTTATATGCATATATAGTGCGCTATGAAAGTCTGAGGTAGGAAACTAATTGCTTCATCTGTCAATTTTACACCATATTTCAGTCCATTTTGAGGGACTATGATAAAGCATTATAAATATTCCACGTACACTTATTGTGATCAAAGTCTTTCAACTGTCTCTTTCATATAGATTTTCTTCCATCATCGTCCATCATAGTCGTAAAGGAATAAAATTGAGAATAATTTGTGTAGAAATCACAGATCCGATTCATGACTTTCATTAGATTTTGTGAGGCTCTAGACAGCGCCAGAAGTGACAGATAGGAGATTTTTGTGAAGTCTTTTGTGAAATCTCACTCTAAAACTGGGGTCATTGAGTGGGAGAATGGAATCCAACAGCATGGCTCTGGAAGTGGGAAACTGGAAAATTAAGCATTGATTAATTATAACGAGTTCTGTTTGTTGCTTTTAGCTTGGTAATAAATGTGTTTATATGTTATATAGTTTGTATTGTTGCTCATGTAACCTTAACTTACCTTCTCCAACTGTTCAATGCAGACGGTGTGAGCTACTATCTTACAGGCCGCGCACTTCCTTCGACTTGATGATTTCTGCTACAGAAAAACATAAACAACTCACTGTAGTGTCATCTGTACAATTCATGTAATAAATGAACAAGTAATCTGTTTAATATCCACTGGGGGGCAGCACAGTATTGCACAAATACAGCACGGGCAGGTGCATTAACCAGGGGTGGGTAGAGTAGACTAAAATGTTACTCAAGTAAGAGTAATGATACTTCAAAATAATACAAGATGCAAAAAACACAAATGTCCACATCACTTCATATTGTTAACATAATGCTTTTGTCACTTGTACTTGCTCACAGTGGGAAGAAGAACTAAATTTAACCAAGAGTAGTGTTGCATCAATAAAAAAATAAAATAAAAAAAAAGTAGGAGTAAAAGTATGTTTCCAGAAAAGTACTCTGAAAAATACAATTTCTTGAAAAAGTTGCCCAAGTAAATGTAACTGTGTAAACTGAGTAATAAACACCTGATCAAAACAATAAGTAAAAGTAATTGTATTTCTAAAAAAAAATTGAAATATATAAAACAGTTGGTTTATGGAGAATATTTATCAATGTAGTGATAAATTCTAACATACAATTCATTTGATACAATCTTTGTATCGTAAATGTACTTGACACTAATCTACGTAGACGAATCATTTCATTTTAGAATGTCATAATAAAGGTGCACCATGTAACTTTTCTGATCAAGAGTCCATCTACTTGTCTCCATGGAGATGTTATTGCTTTGCATTGAATGTTCCACAGTACGCCATTAAACGTAGCTATCTCCATGGATACAGAGTTGAATGCCATACAGTGGAACATTACAGTCAGTAACATCTCAGTGGAGACAGTGGCAGATCCCACATCCAAAAAGTTACGTAGTGCACCTTTAAAGCCCATTTGTTTCAGTAAATGTCAAATATGAGTGATTTTTATATACAGTATGTATTTACTCCTATTGTTATTCAATTAAAATTAATTCTAATTCAATTAAAAGGTGACATTTTGAAGACTTGACTTGAGAAGTATACAATAATATTCTGTTTTAAATGATTAATTACTATGACAGTGGTTGTAATTTGTCCACATTCTGAATCTCATGGATACATATGTCTTTAAGTCTCTCTAGTCTCTCTACTCTGCTTCCACAATAGATAAATAACAACACTTGCTGTACTGCTGTTTTCCTGACTCCTAAACAACAAAATGTAGAGCGCCCACCAGTGCCCGGGCCACACAGTCCTGCTCTCCCACGTAGCAGGAGTCTCCGGACACGTTGGTCTCAAACCACATGTGCTCCCCATACACCGCCCCCTCCTGGACGCACAGGAAAGACACTAGACTGAATTGAAAAGACCTTTTACACACACAACTAGAGATATGTTTTTGAGGAAGTAATAGCATTAGAACATAGCTTAAAGCTCACACGAGTCAATTTAGCATAATAAAGGACATTTAAATCAAGTTAATGATCATTTACTTAAAAATCTATTCAATATTCATCCAGGATTTGTACTCACGCTCCAGTCCACAGCAGTGCGGAGGTGCGGCTCAGGCTCCATTCTGCCCAGGGACGAGGTGCAGGGGTCAGAGGGCAGCTGCCGGAGGCCTGACTTGGCTATGGCTTTCCTGTCAACACAACATCACAAAACCATATACAGTAATTTTATTTTTATTATATATCATTTTGAATTGCTAAAGAAGTAGAGGTCAGAGAGACAGATGCAAAATTGGTGTACCAAACGTATTGCCAAGTTGACAAAAATTTGGTGTTTTGGTTCTCAAGGCGGTTATCCAATCGGAAAGCAGAATGGGCCACATATGATTCTCTCATTTGGGTTGCTAGTTTTGATGCTGAAATCCAGTGGATTAAACCTAAAATGCCTCTCTCTGATCTGAATGGTCACTCCCTAAACCCCAGAACCTGCCACTCATAAATCAGTGCTAGTGCAGCCTCTGCAGCTCAGGGAGGGAATTCTGGAGGTTCTGAGCTTTCATATGAGACATGGTCTGTCCATGTACTGAGAAGGAAACACACTTGGATGTGTGTCTATCTGCAGATGAAGGCTCTGGCAGCACAGGGTTAGTTGTGATTACAGTGCAGTTTTAAAATAGTAACAATGTAGGCTACAAACAGTTCCTTTAAACAAAACAAATGTTCTGTGTGGTTGGAGATCACAGGATGGTCCTTCACCTCCAGGGCCCATCACAGTGTGCACCTGTTTGTATCAGACCACCGTCTGTCATGCTTCTGCCATACCAATAAGACACACAACTGTATCAGTTATAGTATTTTTAGCTCACTTGTCCAGTTATGAAGAGATTATTATCATGGTTACATAATGGGCATAATACAATTCACAGGAGGGAAGAGGGAGTGAGAGGGAGTGAGAGGGAGTAAGAGGGAGCTCTGACTGTAATCCTCTCCAAAACAACACAAATATGCTGCAACAACATGGGGCTTGTAGTATTTTTGAAGTGTGTTTTATCTCAGTATGACAATTATATTACAGCTGGTGACTACAAATTGTTTGCTGACTATTTTATCCGTTGCAATTAAAAGACAATTAAGGGGACAGTATGGAGCCTGCACTCTCACCATTTTAAAAAATGTTTCAATCACAACTGAAGTTCTCGTTCTCCATAAATGGACAGACCATGTCTCATGTGATGCTCAGAAACTCCAGAATTCCCTCCCTGAGATGCAGAGGCTGCACTAGCACTGACTCATGATGGCTGCAGGTTCTGGGGTTTAAGGAGTGAACATTCAGATCACAGAGAGGCATTTTAGGTTCAAACCATTTCAGCATTGAAAAGCACTCATACAAGACTCATTCTGCTTTCTGATTGGATAATTATCTTGAAAAATAAAACACCAAATTAATATAAACAGCAAGAAGAAGACAAGAATATAACATTTCACTTTAGTTGTTCAGATTTAAAATTGCTCAGGATAATTTGCAAGATAATTTGGCTAGAAATAGGTTTAAAAAAATGATAAAATTAAAAAACTATATACATTGCTAAAAATCTTCTATTGAAACAAGTATAATAATGTGGGTCTATCACGTAAATAAATCTGAGTAAAATGTACAGACTTAAGTAAATCTGTCATGTGCACTTTGAAATAAACTCGTAACTCATGTAAATCTTCCTTTTTTGCAGTGATGTTTTAGCTCCAGCCTGTGGTGATGTGCCCTTTTGTCATCGTTTAACAACAAACACTTGGCTCTGCTGATCTCATTCTCTTGTGTCACGCTGTTAGACATTCAAAGGAGGACTGCACAATATGAGCTTTGAGCTTTTTGTTAAAAAGAAATCTGACACAAATCTGAAAATAATTTTTAGTGTTTCCCACTTGGGCTGAGCAACTCTTCTCTACTCTTCTGTGTAAATACAACATCATTTATTTAAAGAATTCATTTCATAACACTGAAAAATTACCAAAAATATAATTCACAACAACAAACAGAAGTAGCTTATTTTAAACTGTTTGTAATGGCCCAAAGTTATTCCTCATTTACCTTTCAGAAACCAGAGTAGATTCTACTACAATATACCTGTACTAAAGTCAAACACATAATTTTGCTCAAATACATGAAAAAAAAAGGTTTAAATCAGGTACTGTCCCTTTAAATGTGTACATCTACTACAACAGCCTGAGTATTAATACATCTAGTCAGGTCACATAGTTGAAATAAATAAAGTTAATGTCCCTCAGTCATTGTCATCAAACAAGTCATTCCAGCACCTAATGTGTAATCTGTTAATGAATAATGTAACAGCACAAATGGTTTCTGGTCTGTGTTAAACTGACGGTCTGATCTGTAAATGTCATTTTCTCTTGTCCTCTCAGCTCATCACAAACACGGTGTGGCACGATGGATTTAGTCATTTATTTGCATAGCTTGAATTTTAATGTTACTCCAATGAATACCATAATTACATAAGGGGACAAAAGGCAAAGGTTATCTACTACTGTATAGATGAAAACAGAACAAAACCTAGTGATGGTGATTAGGTGATTAGGCCTGTAACGATAATCAATAAATCAATTAATCGTACGATAACATTTCCGGCCGTAATAAATTGTATTTGCAGCTTGTTTGTTTCCTTGTTCTCTGTCGCTCTCAAAGAGGGTGAATGTTAGAAGACGTCTCTCGCTCTGACTCCTCGTTTAACAAAAGTAATGACGCTTGAACCAACGTGCGCTGTCTTTATCAACACAGTGGATGCACGCGTAGCCTGAGTGCAGAAAGCGCCACTGTCTGTGCGGCTAAATATGAAGCTGCAACACAAGCGCCGCTGTCAGAACCGAAACAGTTCATCACCGAGTGCCAAAACAAGTCACGATGCCAAATCTACACTGGTGAGTGGGATACGTCTCAACAGCCACATGTGTCAAATGCAGCGAGCGCAAACAACGAGAAAACCCAAACCTGAGCGACACAACTCGCCCCGCCCCCGGGAGAACCTGAAATTCGCTGAAATCCCACAAAACACCGACACCAGCCAGGACAGAGACTCCCTCACAGTGAAATAGCATCCTGTGTGGCAGGTTCATATGAACATTTAAATGACCAAAATGCTGAGGCCACAGCAGCAGCCACAGAGAGACGAGACACTATATACCAATGTAAGTCAATGACTAAAATCACTTTTAAGGGCAATTTTGTTACAGAGACTTAATAATCCATCTTATTTAATGCTTTGATTGTATTTGGTTCGGCAATGGTTTATTCAAGTGCATTTTTGTTAAGTCCTTGTTGTGAGCCAGACACATTAGGCTAGTCCTGTGTTAACAAGTCTGTTTTATTTAGGCCTGTTGTTTTGTTTGTCTTACACTTCCTGTGTTAAATGTTCTTTAGAAAGTAAGGTTTATTGATCATTGAGAGGGTGTATTTGCATTTTTATTCCATGGTCATTATATTAGTTGAAATTGGTCTCAAAATGTCAATATTATCGTTTATCGCAATAAATTCTTGGTCAATTAATCGTCCAGCAAAATCTGTTATCGTTACAGGCCTAATGGTGATACTTTGACTGTAATCAGAACTTGTTTTGGAGAAATATGTTTTAAGTGCATTTTCAAGAGCAAGTATTGAGAGTTGAGAATTTAGGAATCAGGTAAAACACATAAAACAATGTGAACACTATAATTTAAAAGCCATGTACCCAATCTTTTCCATGTGCCCATCTATAATAAAAAGCAGGATAAGCCCCTCCCCCTTTATCCTGGCTCAAGACAAACTAGTGGTCAGATCTTTCATCTTTCACAAAGGTCCACTCTAGCAGCTCTCGCTCGGATTGGTCCAAACGGTCCTCTCAGTGCATGTTACAGACGTCACACAGGTGGGAGGCGTTAGCCCCTATTGAGGAAGTAAATGCGGAAGTGAACATTTTTGGGGAGCCAATGAGCCAATGAGCACAGACCATTGAAAACAATACGATGCCGTCTTGGATTCGTCTTCAGATTTTATTAGAGTTCTATGGTCTTGCTCTACTACAGATTGTATATTGTATAAGGCAGCTAATGAGGTCAAAATAAGTCTGCTGTCTGTTTCTGTTTGCATCTATTAGAATGTTTTATTGTCCGTGAATCAGGTGCATAACCGTGATAGCAAAACTCTGCTCTGGTCTCTGAGAATCGTGAAAAGTGCTTAAAAACTGATCATGGTGAAAAATTTCAAAGTGCAAAAGCTAAGTGAGGAATAACTGCAAACGGTTTAAAATGTTTAAAAAATTCTTTTTTTTCACCAAGTTTTTAAGATGGTAAAAATCAGGTACAGCACCTTTAAATAAAAGAAGTATTAGTAGTAGTAGTAGTATGCATAGTACTAGCAGAAGAAGTCAAATCAGCTTCTAATGTAATAGAGTTATGGTTGTTGATACTACTAGTACCATGTAGCCATAGTACTAACACTTCAACTCAACACACATTTATTTAGCCTAGTATTTGACACGTAATCTAGTGAATTTCATATAAAACTTTGGCTGTTTCTGTCTGTATTTTCAGTAAAATGTGGATATCTTTGAAATTTTGTACCAGCAAACACTGACTGAACCGTTTCATGTCTGTTTTTCACTTGATTTTTGCCACAAACATCTAAATGAACCGTTTTTAGTACAGTAAGCCGGCCACATACCTCTTGACATAGATAAGGTAAAGGTGTTGGGATTAGAGTCTTATGGAGCGATAATCCTTCCCAGAATTCCACAGTGAAGCACATGTTGACAGCTACACAAACATTATCTTATCTACTGGAGCGTTTGTGAAATCTACAATAGAAACTCCACACACCTGTTGTAGCCACTAGCCGTGCACTCCTCGCTCCTAATCAGACAAACCAGGACGCGGCACACAGCAGAACAATCTCATCTGTCCAATCACGTGCACCTTTCAAACTACACTGGCCACTGTGGGCGGAGATCAATATATAGTTCTGTGTATACTGTAAAGTGGGCTTTTGTATTGTCAAAACAACCCGCGAGGTTTATTACAGTTCACTTAAAGGTGCCGTGCCAGAGTTTTTCCTTTTTTATTTTTATCTTAAAAATGTGTAAAACAGAAGTAGTTCATTTTAAATAATTTGCAGAGGTCCAAAGTTATCCCTCATTTACCTTACCAA